GGCGGGGAAACGGGCAGGAGGCGGGGGACAGCCGGGGAGAGAAGGCTGCAGACCACAGAGGAGAAAGCAGGAGATGGAAAGGAGCGGGGTGGGGGACGAGACAAACTCAGAAAACAATGGTAAGAGAAAACGAAAAGGATAAGGGGACGCAGGTGGGCAGGGACAGAGAGGAGTCAGTACAGAAATGGGTAAGAAGACGTGGGGGAGGGGACTGTGAGGAGTGGGGACAGAAAAGGGTAAGGAGATGAGGAGGGAACAGTGAGGAGTGGAGACAGAAATTGGTAAGGATGTGAGGGGAGGAGACAGTGAGGAGTGGGGACAGAAAAGGGTAAGGAGGTGTGGGGGAGGGGACAGTGAGGAGTAGGGACAGAAAGGATAAGGAGATATGGGGGAGGGGATAGTGAGGAGTGGGGATGGAAAACAAAAGGCTAAGGAGACATGGGGGAGGGGACAGTGAGGAGCAGGGATGGAAAAAAAAAAGATAGAGAGAGGCAGTCCCATGGGAGTAGACTGTGAGAAGTAGGGACGATGAGAGTGAACCTGGTCGTGGAGGAAGCAGGAATACACGGGAGAACAGACAAATCAACCATGAAAAATGGAACAGGAAACAGGACAATGATGGGAAACCTAAAGAGAATGACACAGAAGGAAAAAGAAATAGTGGAAGTGTGAAACTGCCAATGAAAGAAAACGTGAAGATGGTGAGAGACAGCAATAGAAATGACCATGAAAAAAATAAGGCATTAGAGTGATAAGGGTGAAAAACTGATCGTGAAAGGAAAAGGGAGAATGGCACAGAGGAAAAAGAGAAACTGACCATGAACAATGGGGTGAGAAATAGAGACAATGAGGGTGAGAAATTGAAAGAAAAGAGAAAGACAGGGCGGGGGGATATATAGAAATTTGCTGTGGGAAAAAAGTGAAAAATAGAGATGACGATAGTGAGAAATTGATAATGAAAGAAAAAATCAGACCCGGGGAAAAAAGACAAATAGAAGTTGATCATAAAAATGGCCTGGGAAATAGAATGATGAGAGTGAGAAACAAAGTGAAAACAAAAGACAGAAAAAATATAGAGACAATGACTGGAAAAATAGAGTGAAAAATGGAGATGGTGAGAGTGTGAAATTGATACTGAAAGAAAAAACAGAAAAGAGAAATGACTATGAAAAATAGGATGAGAAACAGGTGATGATGATGAGAAATGAAAAAGAAAAACAGAGTGAAAGAGAAATGATGAATGACCATGAAAAAAACAATGTTGGAATGATGAGGGTGAGAAACTGAAAATGAAAGAACAGCACAGAGGAAAAAGATGGAGAAATTAATCCTGAAACACGGAGTGAGAAATAGTGACAATGAGGGTGAGTAAATGAAAATGAAAGAAGAGAAAGACCAGGGGGTAAAAGATAACTGTGGGGGGAAAAAATACCGAAAACTAGAGATGATGAGAGTGACACATAGATAATGAAAGAAAACAAATATATGAGAGAAAAGACAGCGAAATTGATCGTGAAAAATGGAGTTAGAAATCAAGACCAGCCGGGCTCGGTGGCTCAGCCTGTAATCCCACGCCTTTGGGAGGCTGAGGTGAGTGGATTGCCTGAGCCC